TCTGGGGAACACAGTGATTTCTGGGAGATCTCTAGGTCTCACAGGGAGATTGGCAACTCCAGTGCCCATTTAAGGGAAGATTGGGATATGTATTTTACCTCACATGGAATGACTCGCAAGAGCAAACTTTAGAATGTTAGAGGCAAAGGCCAGTCAGGCCACATATGCAAATAACCTCTGTGTTCTGACTGGCTACTGGGGGGATAGGAACAGCAAACTGTTCAGAATATTGGAGGGGAGACTCGGGCAATGCAGCCATTGGATAGGGACAGCTTCTGAGTGACAGATCAGGGAGCGAACTGATTTGGGACCATGTAGAATGTTCAGGAGAGTCCATGACCAAAACAGAATTATATATAAGGAGAGATTCTGCATCATGTCAGGACATTTCCTATTGTATTTCTTAAGAGTTGTTGTTGTTGTCATTGCCCACCATATTACCATCATAAATATGACTTATGTAGAAGCAGTGCCGGCCCGAGGTGTTTCTGCACCCTGGGCGAGGCCAGCTTGTGGTGCCCGCACCCCCCCCCAGGCGATGCCAACTTCCCAGTGAGGCCTGGACATCTCCCAGAAAGACACTGGGGGGCACCAAGCACCACAAGCTAGGCTCGTCCCTGCCCGGGTTGGGCCCAGCCAGGCAGCTTCCTCTGAAAAAGGGCTCAAGCCGGTTGGAGACGAGGGCGAGCATGCTTACTGGCACCCTGGGGTGCCCGGGGGAGGGCCAGGCTGCTAGCCGAGCGGGGCCTGCAGCAGAGGTCATGGGCAGTGGAGAGGAGGCCTGGAGCAGGAAGGAGCCTCGCCTCCTTTGCTGGCCCACCATCAAGGGGCTGGCTGGCCGGCCTCACCTTGCTTGCCTTTCACCTGGCCAGAACTCCTGCTGCTGCGGGCTTCTTCCTCCTCCTCCTCAGTTCCTCCACCGCCGCTCCCCAGCCTTCCTCACGGGGCTGCGGGTGGAGTGAGAAAGGTGCCCCCCTCTCCCCCCCCCGCAACTAAAGCTCACGCAGCCGCAGCAGTTGTGTGAGCCCTTCCCCCCTGTCTGTGTGTCAGGCCTGCCTGCCAGGGTGTGAGTCCACCGGGGTGGGGGGGCAGGGGATGCCAGGGCCTTCCTCTCCACTGGGCTGACAGCTGCCCATGTTTGAAATGCCCACTCCCCACCCCTCGGAGGAAGGAGTGCGCTCATTGGCCAGGCTCCCGGTGGCATCACGGACGTGCAGCCGGGATTGGCTCTCCGGGCAGCCCCTCCACGCACGCTCGGTCAGAAGAGGCATGAGTTGGGGCGGGCGGGAGTGCAGCAGGGGAGAAGCTGTTGGCAGCGGTGGGACAGCGGATGAAGTGCAAGGTAGGCAAAAAACACCCCTCCATCTGAAGCCAAATCAGAAAAGGGGTGAAAAAAATTCTACCTGGCCCCACCGTTTTCAACTTCCTGATCGTGCTACCACACCAAATCAAAGGCCAAACTTCTGCTTAGACCTTTGCCTCCACGAAGCAATCCAGCACCAACAGCACTCCTCGCCTCAAATCTGTAAGAAAGATATCATTGCCCTTGTTAAAGAGTTGCACCCCACGCCCCCTATACAGGTCCGTTAACTCTACCTGTATATCAGGGTGAAACAAGAAAAGGCCCAAGCCACCTTCCATGGCATTTCTAAACTGCGTTTCGTCTCACCCAGCCCAAGCACCTAGGAACTCCTAGGCTATGCCACACCTGGCACAGCCAAATTGCAGACAAGACCAGCTGCACCCCAGGCAACTGGCTGTCTTTACGCCTAGCGGGGTCCCCAAAATTGCACCAACCTGGCAGGGCAGAATAGCCACCAGACTATCCGCACACCAGGCCACCTTACTCTTATCATTGTAAGGTCAGCCTCCACTTGTAAGACCAGGGCCTTGCCCTTCATGACGATGCAGAATAGCAAACCAGACCATCTGCATCCCAGGCAACCGGTCCATTTGACACCAGGGCCTTGCCCTTCATGGGGAGGCAGAATAGCCACCAGACCATCTGCACTCCGTGCCACCGTGCCCATCATGGTGAGGCTGCACCCCAGGCAACCAGTCCACTTGTAACACCAGGGCCTTGCCCTTCATGGTGCGGCGGAATAGCCGCTGGCCTATCTGCACTCCGGGCCACCTTGCTCTTATCATCACAAGGTTAGCCTCCGCTTTAA